ATATTGACAGACTTCATGTCTTTAGAAAACATTTAAAACTATTATATCTTGAAGTTATTCTGTGTTCACATGTTGAATGTTATTTTATTTGTTGTATTATTCTTTTACTTGCCCTCTATTGTAATGGTTGTTAATGGAAAGGTGCTGTATAAACAAAGTTATTATAATTAATGCTACTATTATGCATCTTTGGATTCAGAAACGTAAATGAATTACATTAAGGCCTGTAAGAGTTAATAACTTGTGCTGAAGTACAAAATGTCGATTACACTTGCAGCACTGCAGTACTGACAGGGTCTAGTGGCACTTTAGGACGTAAAACATATCACTGCTTACGATCGACAACTCAGAGAAACACGATTTCCTCAATGCGTTAAAAACAAGTTTTTCTGGGCTGCACAGCAGAATCAAAAACCTGCAGACGAGTTTTAACAACAGTGCAGTTTGGTTTTCGATCATGTCTCCTCACACAGCAGGTCAGCAGAGCTGCAGCTGGAACATCAACAACAACAACTGGCAGCAGTAGTTTTCTAAGATCCTGCTTCTATCTGCGTCTCGTCCACTTGTTAGCAAATGTTAGGAGCAGCTTTAGTTTGCGTTACAGAGCCGTGTAGTCAAAGTTAACCCGCCCCGTGTGGTCGCGCTGGTCCTAAAAAGAAACAACAACCGAGGCAAAAGTGAAAATACACTCCAGCTCCGAGTCAACACAACTAGTCGCACTTTCACTTGCAGAGCGAGAGGGAGCCGTCATGTCTGCGACCCGACGGCGTGAATATGCGGAAATGAGACGGTACCTGCTCGCTGAGGACGGCCTGTAGCTCCGGGCTCCCGCTTGACACACCGACGACACCAGCCCGAGTCACACGGCTCAACTTCTGCCACCGACTTTCACACAAAGTGGAAAACAAAAGTGTGTCGGCGGTTCTTTTCTGTTTCTGCTCGGAGAGCGAAAGCAAAACAGCGGCCGCTGAGGGGAAGTGGGGGCTCGCGCTGGAAATCCCCCTCCTGCTCTCGAGCGCCGTCGCGGAAGTGTCTGCGGCCGCGTGCGCGCTCCACCAGAGGAGTTCAAATGCGAGGAGGACTCACTCCGCTCTTCTTTCCGGTGACCGTGAAAACAAACCGAAATCATTTCCTCACGCTGTGTTTCATTTATATGTTTTTTGGGGTTTTTTGCACGTGGTGTTTCTGTAGTTATACAAAGCTGAAAGAAGTGCGTCGTGTTTTGCATGTATACGCAAAACATGACGCACATTTGTGTGCAAAATCAAATCATTTCTAATGGGACATTTTACGAAAGCAAATACAGATTTATTTTTGCCAACACATGGATTATATGTTGTAGTTAAACTGTTATAATGACAATAATTATTTCATATGAGCAACCCAAAGTAAAGGGGTAGTTCACCCAAAAATGAAAATTCCCTCATTATCTCCTGATGCATAGTGGTGAGTAGATAATGAGTGAAATTTCTCACTCAAGGGGCGCTTTGACGACATCAGCGATACTCAGCAGTAACTGCAGCGATGCTACCAGAACTAGCGACGCTTACGTGCACCCTCGGTCGAGAGATTGTTTCAGTGTGTGCGTGTGAACGTGTCAGAGGACATTTAGGTTAAAAACATGGTGTAAATGACACCGTTTTAAGTCAGATTTGAATGTCGGGGCTTACAGACACTTGGACGACACCACAGGAGCAGTATGGAGGCATTTCATGTTTTTTTCTGTTGTTTTCCTTACATTCAAAAGAACTGGTCCCCAGTTACTTTAATTGTATTGGATTTGGCTCCAACGCTGTTTACCCCTGAGAGTCCCAAAGTGTTTTGTGGACTCAAACACTTCACCCACCCCTCCATCTGCATAGTGTTGAGATAATGAGTGATTTTTCATTTTTGTGTGAACTATCCCTTTAATTTTGATATTTGATATTATACAGAAGCATTTTATTATATTAATTACAGCAAGTGTACAATGAGAACATTCATATTAACTTCAGCCAGCTATGATCCTAGCTATTATTATTATTATATGTCTATTTCTAAAGCCCCTTTCAAAACAGCTGTTACACAGTGCTTCACAAAGAGGACAATGTATGACTTTATATAGCCTCTACATTATAAGGCCAGTGTAGGATCGGTACAAGACAAAAGGCCTAAATATCCCATACTGCACTGTCATTGTTCATATTTGAGATAGTTCAGCTTTATAGTCTACATCTCTGAATATAATTATGTTGGTTATTTTGTGATTAATAACCTATGAGAAGTTGCTGCTGTGGCAAAAAAAAAAGTGTGGACCACCAGGGATACAGTGGCCATGAACCAAATGAAAGCTCTGACTCTGTTCTGTGGAAAACACAGAGGATCTTTGGGCTGGATTTCATTTTCACTTCCTCTTTCTCTCTCCCCCCCTCCCCCCCCCCCCCCCCTCCCCAGCCTGTCCGGCCCCTTTCTGCGCAGCTGATGCTGGAAACGAAACCAGAAACTTAAAGCCATCAGAGTGCATGGGCGCGTGAGTGTGAGTGTGAGACCCTACAGAGTGATCACGTAGTGTGTGGAATGTGAGGACATTTTGACTGGTAGAATTAGGTTTAGGTCTGTGTTAGGGTTTGGATAAGGGGCTAGGGAATTTGTGAATGAGAAAAAAACATTGTAAGTAAATAATAATAATAATAGTTATTTTTATTATACAAGATACAAATTCTCCTTGTTTAGTTTAAATGTTTTCAAAAGACAAAATAAATCTGTCTAATATTAAGATAAATTAATACATTTGAGGTGAAATGTTATTTTAACGCACAGGAACAATGCAGTTCAACATAGTTACAATATAGGTCATTGAAGAGGTGCACAGAGTTTATGGCTCATTTTCATCTCTTAATTATAATAATAATAACTTTATTTAAATAGCACCCTTCCAAACGCACCTTCCTTACCAACTGCTTCCCAAAGAGGACAAACAGATAAAAACAAGAAATCCAAACATCAAAGATAAGAAGTTAAATACAATGTCATTTAAAATCAAAGGAAGCTAATTATATGATACAAAATCCATAAGAACAACAACTCTTGTGCCTTCTTGATCTTTCACATACAGATTATAAATAAAAGACGCATCCTCTTGAAGTCACAATACGCTATAAATCCTTATTACATCATTAGTCATTTATTACCACAATAACAATTTACTAGGAGAAAGCAATTCTCGTAAGAAGAAACAACAGAACATTTGTAAAATGCACTTTGGTCAGAGTTTAACCACAACTAACGACACCGGACATCAGGTCAGGAGGAGGATGGAGTGAAAATAGCTGCACTTTATACATAACTGCACCCACACACACACACACACACACACACACACACACACACACACATACACACACTTATCTACACGCACATACACACATGCAGACACATTTAAACTGGGACTGGGGAGAGGTCTGATAACTATCAATGAAGTTTATAGTTCAACAGCAAAACACGCACTCTCTCTCTCTCTCTCTCTCTCTCTCTAACATACGAGCGCGCGCACACACACATCCCATTGTATCATCAGACAGGCAGTTCTGTGGCATCAAGGCCCATAGTATTTCTCTTGCGCCCTCTAGTGGTGTTTTATTTAAAGTGTAAAGTGTAAATCATTCACATAAACTGCTAAAAAGAATTAAGAGAACACTTAATCCTCCCAGTATAAAACCTCCAGGGATGTCAATCTGTTCAGTGAGGAAGCAAAAGTAATTGTGAATCAATTTCATCTGCTTTGGTGCAAGATACCAGGAGACCAGACGTTACACGAGGAGAGCTGGACAGACAGGGCAGCATGGAGCATCAACCCAGAAGCAGGACCGGTATCTGCTCCTTCCTGTGAGGAGGAACAGGAGGAGCAGTGCCAGAGCTCCAGAAAATGACCTCCAGCAGGTTGACACTGAGCACATGTGACACGTGGGAAAGAGTCTGGAGACGCTGTGGTGAACGTTATGCTGCCTTTAACATCATCCAGCATGACCAGTTTGTTGGTGGGTCAGTGATGGTTAGCTAATTCATGTTCATTGAAAGCCTACATTTGATTTAAGTGTCCCCTTAATTTGTTTGAGCCTTGTTTATATATATATATATATATATATATATGTGCACACAAACCATGCCCACACATCTCTTGTGTGTTGATATCTAAGAACCACATGGTACTGTGAAAGTGAACCTACATTAAGATTTATCATTTACCCACCTTGTGTTTGTGTTGCTCTGTTGGCCTCTGTAAATGTATTGATCAAAACACTAGATATTTGTCATGTGGGCTTTGGATGGGCAGCACCTCCTGGGGATGGGTTCCCAGGAAGGACGCTGTCCTCTCCTGTGTTTGCCATATGATGTTGAACGAGGTGATGTTGAACATCAGTCACCTTCTGGGGTCTTCTCTTTGGTGACTGTCTCATACAAGCAACAATCATGCTCCAATCATGTTTTAGTTTTTTGTTGCTTGGACATTTTGTGATTTTTATACAACATATTCTGATCTGTGCAACTGAGACCAACATTAGACATTTTTGCTGGTTCACTAGTTTACAGCCACTTTGATTATGCTGCCACCTATTGGGATCAGAGTTCACCACATAAACTAAACTAATAAATTAAAAATAAACTCGGTTCTTACAGTTGACAGAAGAATGGAAGCACAGTTGATGCATCACTTACACAGCTGTGACAAAACGCAGCCCCGGGTTTCTTAACTATTTCAGTCACCTATGCAAACTACAACTAATGTTATTTGTTTTAGTTTCAGGAGTTCCATGGACACACACATTTTACACACTGCAGCAAACTGCCTCCAGGATCTCTTCAGCAGCATACGTAATTTATTTAGTTCTCTCCTGATTTGTTTGGTATTTTATATGTGTCCAAATTTAAGACTTTCCAATTGGGATATTTTGAATATTATACAATGAGTAATTTAATATATAACCAAAGAAAATCTTCTGAACTCAAATTAAATGATGCTTTAAGTGATAATATGTCAGCACAGAACAGCCAGTGGTGAGAGTTACACGGTAATATAACTTTTACTTGTTGATCAGCTCAGATTTAGAACAGTTACAATCATCACTCCTCTACCTGAACATTACTAAAGTTTTGAAGAAACAATGATCAAAATCTAAAATATTTATTTTGATATGTCTGCCTGCAATGAAACCCAGCACAAAGGACACAGTCACATTGAGTCACATTGAACAGTATTGTGTATAGAGTATTGTATGTGAGTTTGTTGAGTTCAAACGAAAAGTTGGATTTGAAACACTTAATTTTTACCAATATAAAAAACACACTGCACATACTGTATGAATGTACTGAAAGTAAATGCTTGTGATAATGTGTTTGGTGTCAGTGAAATTGCTTTTTTAAGATGCATCTGTAGAAATTATTCCAACATGCTTTAGTACAAAAACTGGCTCGGGTTTTCTGAAGGAGCCAACACAAATGAATACAAGAGGGCAAAAACTCCTAAAACATTATGATCCAGATTAAACAATAACTGATATGTTCCCTTTTATCCTCATGCTGTTGGTGCATTTGAGTTCTGCTTGTAGTGACATTAAAAACACTTAAACTAGTTTTATCTTGTTTGCACAAGCCCACACAGTGCACCACAAATCTTTTGTGCAAATATCTTTGAGAGGGAAATAGATGAAAGTGAAATTTATAATTCCAGCCATATTTGACTATTATTTCCTACATGATAAACAAGAAGTCATTCTCATTCTATTGAGGAAAGTAGAAGTCTTTGGTCAACATCGAGACAATACAGGGGATCTGCTTCTTGCTGCTGAATCCAGGTAGGTTGGAGGAAGACTCAAAGTGTAGCGCCACCTTGCGGTTGACTCGTGTCATGATCTGCATCAGCTCCAGCTTTCCCTTGTGTTGCATCAACATCTCACACAACGACTGCATGAACCAGGAGCCGTTGGATGTGTTTCTCCATGAGTAGTAACCTGCAGGACAGAAGACAGTCTTATCATTCTTAGAAAAGGTGTATTTCTTTTTTTAATATTTTACACATTTTTTTATTATATATATAATATTCCATAAAAATATATTTACCCAAAGTGAGAATGAGCTGAATACAGATATCAGCTACTCTTTGATTTCATTTACAGTTGCAACACAGCAAATAATTCAGAGCGCACTAGTGTTTCTCATAGAATTCATTCAATCTATGGCAGTAGTATGGGTGCACGTGCAAGAACGTTGCTCTCATGCACAATAAATTACAAATGCCAGACCAAAGACTAAAAGACAAGCTCTTGGGTAAGAGAGAGAACACCAGTGCATTCTACTTGCGGTTACGTGCTCAACTGCAGCTAAAACTTTTGAGGTCTGAGTGTCTGTGTGGATGTTAACAACTTTATGGATGCACGTGCAAGCATATTGTAAATATCACTGCAAATGGTGCTGCACACAGCTATAGAATGCAGCGGAGGAGCAAACCACCAAGTTAGAGATCTCCTATTATGCAAAGTGTAAACATTTTTTGGTTCATTAGGACAAATTAGAAAATGGCAGGCTGCCACAGTCTAGATAATACATAGGGAGCACTGAAGCATGATGACCTCAGTATCGCCCACTGATGAAGACCTTGTTCTCGTCCACACACCTCCAAAGATTTCCATTTTTACAGAACAGAGAAAGAGAAGGAGAAGTTCCAGTCTCTTTTAGTATCCTGGCCCTGCTTCAGGACATATTTTGGGGTGTTGGTGGGACAGTTTGAAGTCCTACTGGTGACCTAGAAACGCATCTGAGGAGGCGGAGGACCATACCTTCATCCTATTGACCCAGAGAGTTGTACAGCCTAAACTACTATAGTGCACAGTGAGTGATACCTTTATTCATAATGCAAAGGTAAAATATTAAATATATATATATTTAACAAATTAAACACACAAAAACAACAGTTTGAAAAATATATTAATATGAAAAATAGGTGCAGAAATAACACCCCAAGACTATGATGCATTTTTTTTTAAGGACAAACTCCTGCTGGAGCCATTTACCTGGAGCAGTGGAATAGGCATACAGGAAATCTGCCTCCACAGGAATCCTCTCTGATGTTTGCTCATCTACACTGTCTGTCTCGATCATGGCTCCATCATCCAGGGCTGAACCACGACACGCCTAACAGGGGCACGAGATCCAGGTTTATGTCATCAACTGTCATAGTGTTCACCCCAACTGTAAGGTGAACTGTAACTGGAGCAAGTTGCATTTGATCGTTGTCATCACGTTAAAGTGAGACCACATTTGACTAAAAGATATTAAATAAAAATACAAATAAAAATATAACCATACAAACCTTTCACTACAACACAAACACTTCCAGACACATTTCCATGGATGAGGCACCAGCGTATTTGTATGTTCACGTGGGTTACTGTTACTAACCTGTATGAAGAAGAGCTTCGGTTTGCCAACCAGACTTTTGCAGCGATCCCCTTTAAAGTTTCTCGTCAGATTCTCTAACCTCTCACAGCCGTCCGTGCCATAAATCACCCCCTCGTCTCCATGACTCAGCAACACACACACAAACGATGCACTACTACTGTGGTCCTCCCTAGATACTAAAGACAAACACAGGAAAAGATAGAAAACAACATTGCTGAATCAGTCCAGATATTATTTCCTGTCTTACTGTAAATGTTTGTTGGTACAATACTTGTTCTTTAGAAGAATGCTGATAATTTAGTATTAAGCTGATGCACGTCTCAGAGGACAAGAATCTACAGGTCAGAGGGGATGTATGAGCACATTCTCAAGATGAAAAAGAGGCGTCATACACGTACAAGATCCTGACATAGATGTTAACTTAGAAAGACACCCAGATTTGACAGTCTTTGGGAGTAAGGGTTGATGCTGGTGTCAATGGGGAGTGAACAAAAACACAGATTTCTGCAGCAGAATTTAAACATCATGTCCTATCTCCTGCTCTACCCAGTTGACACCTCGCACCTAAATGTTCTGGACATTTTCCTGTTGTCGTGAATGCATTTGTCGTGGACAATCTCCGGCTGTGTTCTTCACATAAGAAAGGCAAAGTCCTGAAAGGGTTCACTTCACACCCAATTTCCGAGACAAATTCTGGAGTTCAGGTGTGAAAACAGCTACGTAGGTGGGTTTATGATTTACAATGCAACCAGCCACCAGGGGATAATGAAGGTTATTTAGTTTCACTTTTGAGGAGCAGTCATGTCATCTATCTTTATATACAGTCTATGATAACAACATACAGACTACGTTTGATACACTGCCAGCTAGAATTGCGAGAGTGCTTCAGTGATCATGTCATATCTACAGGATAAACAGCAAGGATAGTTTTTTGTCACCCTGATAGTTGAAAATAAAAAATGGATGATTCCAATTTCAAATACCATTCTATGTAATTGCTTTAACTTTCAATCTATGAAGATTTGTAGTTTGTTACCGTTTGACAGCAGCGTTTTCATCTGACTCACAGTCTGGTCATTGGCCATTATGAGTTTATAACCCAGCTCAGAGAAGGTCTTCATAGCAAAGGCAGCATCAACATCTGTTCCATTACGATAACTCATCTCTAGAGACACAAAGACAAACATGGAGTATTCAGTAGAAATTCAATGGCAGCTTCTATGATAAAGTTCAAAAAGCAGGTGTGCAAAGGGAAAACAGGAGGATCAGGTGCTGGCTCTGTTCAAGCTTTAATGATCATTCATGAACTGGCTCACACCGAATGAGCACTTCTATTGTACACACTGAGTAAACACTGGAACAATATGAAACTTGCAAATACTATGGGTACTTACTGGTTTGTCTCCCCCCTTTAAACAACAATGTAAATCTAATAATAATAATATTTTTATTATAATCTGATGACAAGTAGAAAGTTACTTCTAGGAGTTGGCCGAGGTCATGTGAGCAGTAGTTAGTACTGTATGTAAATGTAACACAAAATGTCCAGTTATACGAGCTTGATTTAAAAATGTGGAGAAGTCCATGTGTCTAACAGGTCTTTTTCACAGCAGACAAAACTAAACAAAATGAAAAAATCCCGACTGATTTTCAATTGCACACAATATTACTCTACAATATTAGAAAAATAAGGGCACATCACGCACTACAGAATATTATTAATATTATTCTCTGAAGGAAGAAGGTGCAAACTAAGAAAACATGATGGAGAATGGCTCGTTGCGACAACTTGCTCTGTCTGTAACAATGCTTTGCAGTGATATAAAATGGAAGTAGAAGAAAATGGTTGGGGACATGTAGTCAGCATGGTCTGTCTATTCTTCAGCTAAAACTGGAGGTAAGATTTTAACTGTTTAATGTCAACAGTAGACCGGTTAATCCGGGTACCTGCCAGATATCAACAAGCCTTTCGACTCAGCTGTCCACCGCACTTCTACAGCAGCTTGTTTCACAGTCCCCATTTCAAAAGCCCTACTCGTCTCCGTCATTGGTTGTGCTGGGAAAGCACTGACGTAATCATCTGGATTTTAAATCGTAAATATTTGATGAATGAGGGATTATTGGCCGCAAAGATTATGCAGGCAGTTCAGGAGATTTACAAGTGACTCTGTAACCGCTCACACTACCAGAAAATCTGGATTGAACATTGCTACTAACCAAGGTTCCAGATCAGATTTCTCCTTCAATTCTGAAATGTATTTCCCCCTGCACTTCTCCTAATGTGACATAAAAGTCCTCAGGGAGAAAGACAAAACTTTTACCCTGAGCCTGATATGAGTCATACTTTTCCCATCTCCTGTCTGTAATTTTTCCACCTCAGTGGTAAGCACTCAATATACAGAGTGGGTGAGCAGGGGGACAAAAAAAAATATAGTACAGAATCTCCTTGAAAAACTGGTGCATATCTAGTGGTTTTATAAAGTTATTAAACATTGAGTTGATGAGTGAGTGTTTTTACTTGTTCTACTGTGGAAGTTCTTATTGTTGATGATCACACAGGTTCCAATGTTGGGATAGTCCATCCTGTAGCGGTGGGGGTCTGAGCCTGCAGCTGTCCTGCCTTTACTGCTGGGGGTAGAGTCCACTTCCTCAGACGTCTTATTGCTGTCTGTGATCGCTTCATCTGACCTGAAAGTTTACACACACATTTTGCTTCACTATCCCAGTGTGGACCATTGATTGACCTTTAACTTAACATGAAACTTCACGACTGACACAAAAATATCTGCTTACCCCCGTTTGGAGACACTTTCATTCCTAACTGCACAACAAGCTGAACTTTGACACAAACACACTCATTGAAATGATTTGAAACCTGAGAAACTTGTCAAGCATCACACCAACACACACATATTAACCTGTCTTGACAACTCAGTGGTGACTAAGCTTGAGTTGTTTGTTTAACCTGTCAAGCGAGTGCTGAATGTTTATAGCCTACACTGCCGTTAACACACTAACAGGAAAGTGAAACTGTTGCAAAAGTATTGTCTGGACAATTAACGGATGACATGAGCTACTTTTGCTAATTGTTTAAAAAAAATAAAAACATAAACAAGGACTATAAAATGAAGACAAAGGTCATGGTGGCCATAAATCCCTCAGAATTGATCTCGGTAATTCAGTACAGAAACACTATGATTACTGAGCCATACCACTAAATTAAGAGAGGAGGAGAAATCTCCATTAAGTTGTTTATATACAAGTGAGTGACTTAAATCAAAATGTTACACATGGCGACTTGCACACTCAAAGTTCACATACACAGGCCTTTATTATTCACAGTGCAGGGCGCTGAGTGACCTCACGTGATGAGGAGGTTGCAAAGCTCTGCCCACCTTCAACCTGAGCAGAGGTGGAACTGGCTAAAGTTAGGCTACAACTGCCAAAGCAAGGACTTACGAGTGAGCTGCGTGTGGGTAATGTTTCCCATGCATTATCTCTATTTGGTGGTCTTTCAGTTTCAGTGAATCTCATTTCACTCTTTTTATCTTATTCTCAATCATTTTGCCCACACACCTGTCTGAGTTACATGCCCTGCAGTGACTGATGGAATCTATAGGCCCCTTGATTGATACCTAACCCTATCGGACAGGTTTAAGTCGTCAGTACTGGTGTTGGTGTCAAGTAATTACCTCTTCCAAAACACTTTTAAGGCATCCACAGTGTCGCCGCCGCTCTGCTTTTCACCATCACCACGAACCTCAGCCATGTTCCTACACACAACAAGAGAAAAGAGAGTGAAATCTGAAAATCTGTGACGAATGTAAGATAAAGAATAATAAAAACTGTAAAAATAAAAAGTGGGTGACACATGATCGCCCTCTACTGCACTGAACCCCAGAATAATTCAAACTGCCTTTATTACCATAAGAGGTATTTGGAGAAAATGAATAACAATTTTCTCACTTCAATTATATTGCTCCACTACTGCTGGCTTTTGAGGGTGGTTACATTTCTACAGTCTGTCATGTTATCTAGAATGAAACTCTTAACATCCCTCTACAGCTACAGCCTGACCGCAATAGATATTGATGCATATACAGAGAACTCATAATGCTATATCAGCCAATAGAATTTCATTAATACATAAATACAGTACAAATACAACAATGTCAATACAGAGCTCTTAGATTTGCTGTTTTTAAAATAAACTTCAAAGTTCAAATAAAATTGTTCCAGCTTTCTAGTGAACAAACTATGTTATTGAGAAATTTCCTGTTAGTTCTGTAGCTTTGCACAACGACATACATCATTGAATAAATTCAGGAAATTACCCAAATCTCAGAAACATTTTCTCACTCACTGCAAGTGGAATTTTGGGACAGCTCTCACTGTTAATGTGACTCTCTCTAGTTCCAGAAAAAACTTTTGCAGAAGTTTTGATTGAAATAAAAACATAAAATATCTGGCTTATTGAAGGAACTATGTGCTGGTGCAACGTGTTGCAGCTGAATTGAATTAATGTTGACTGTTGGGGCTTGGTGGAGGTTGGTGCTCCACTGAGTCTTTCTAGTTAAAACAAACAAGTTGCTTCATAGATTGTGATTCCTTACTGAATAGTATTAACTCTGACTCACTGCTGTAAATATGAATCAGTTCATATGACAAAGGATTCTCAATCATACTCAGTGATTTACACACTGACGCTTGGAAGCTGTTCCAGGCTTAGCTTTTAAATGTAATTACTATTTAATAATAATACATTCTACTGTGGTACTTACTCATATGGTTTTTGAATGTATAAGCAGTATCTCACATCTTACAAACAGTATCCCTCTGCTTGTCTTTAATGTTTCATAATACATACACAATAGTGCATCATGTCCTCTTACTCATAACGAAACTCAATTTACAAAACAGAAAGCGATTGCAGCTCCTCTAATTAACAAAGAAAGGATCAGTAACTATTTACAACCATGTAGCTCCATGTAACCACCTGTGCAGCTAACGACATGTTCTTACTGTGGGGCTGCTGCATGTAGTTTCAGGAAGTACATGCTGGAGGAGCTAGCTGGACATGCTAACTGTAGACATGCCTCCATCAGATAAGACGTGTTAAAACTGTATTGACATTAAACGACACGAGCGTGGACAACGTCATCCCTGACAACAAAGTGACAGGACGACATTCTAAATAAGAGCGCGGATAGGACGCGTTGTTTTCCTGCACTGACATCTCAACACAACGAACTACTCCTTGTTTTTAAATGACACCAGGAAACGTCACGTCAGGTGTTGGCCGCGCCGGGTCCAGTTACAAGTGAGGAAAACTAATGTTGGTCCAGTCCGGCTTCGTTCAGCTCACACCTGTGAATAACAAAACACATATAGAGCACGCCATGGAAAACAAACGCACCTTTCCTCCTGACAGGACCGCGGACAGCCCTCTCTGCTGCTCAGAGCTCTAATGAGGAAACGTTACACTGTTCAAAGTACAAGTCAGAAACTTTCAGCCAATCAGGGACGACGCACGCACGAGCGCGCCTCCATGACTTGAGCAGACATGACAGTAATTTACTGGAACCTTCACCTGAGATTTAACACGTCGTCACCTCCAAACTGAGTCATGTAATTGATAGGGCTGTAGTTGTTGTCCCCATAATGTAATGTGAGAATACATCTAAGGACCCCACAACGTGAGTAATACATGAGACACCCAACTGTGACCCCTGGAGAAAACACATAGATTGATAGAGTTGTGTGTTAGTGGAAATGTATTTATGACCCGAGGAATTTCGACATCACTTGAAAGTAGAACTTTAATATTTTATCAAGAAAGGAAACATATTGATGTTTGTACAGCTCATATTACACAAAGACAGGAAATGTGCTTTGAATACTTGTAACCTGTAAACAAACAGTGAGTCATAATTCCACTCATGGTCTGAGTGGACAAAATGGTGGTTGAAGGAGGTTTAACTGAGTGTAATTGAAGATGTCAAGCTGCTTCTGGCCTTAAAAATCCAGTAGCTGTAGTACAGCTCATATTTTATTTGCAACATACGTGCATTGAGTGTGTGTGTTTATCTGTGTGTATGACATTATTCTACATTGTATTAATTACAAGTCTCACTCTTCTTCAGCCTCTTTTCCATTTGGTCATTAAGTTTTTTCAGCTGATGCTCTGCCGCCTGAATATGCTTCGCCTCCAGCAGCAGAGCCGGTAAGCTGGACGCCCCGTACTGCACCAGAGGAGGACGAGGAGGAGAGGAAAGGAGAGAGTATGTTATTATCAGAGTTTCACTGCGATTATTTCTGTGATTTCTAAAGTCAACTTTCATGTGATTGTCATGCGTCTGTACCGTCTCTTGCTCTTTGGGGTGTTCTTGTCGGTAGCCGAGGTACTGCTGGTTGAGTTCTCTGATGTCATTGAGGAAGGCACGGCTTCGTTTCAGATCATCTAAACGCAGCTCAAGTTCAGCTTCCTCCTTTTGTAGCAGCCTCACCTGTCTCTCTGCACTGTCAGACCAACCACAGTTGTAAAGGTCAGTATGACGACTTTATGGAAACAACCTTTACAGGATCTTTTGCTTTCACTTTCTGGCGAAAGAAGGTTAATGATTTATATTTTGAGATAAAAAAGATATTTTTTTGTTTTAGGTATACATCTAGCTGACAACACCATTGATTAGTTTAATGACTCATTACACAGCTTTTAGCTTATACACATAAAAACCTTGGAATAATAAATGTTAATTGTTGGTGTCTGAGCTGCCTCTCACCTCATCAGCTCATGTTTGGCATCCAACAGTCTCTGTGTCTTTGTGCTTATCAAAGAAGCCACCTGACACACACACACACACACACACACACACACACACACACACACACACACACACACACACGTGATGACAGCATAAGATGAGAAGTCGCTAGAGTGATGAAAACCCAACCCTAAGAGGAAACTTTTTTTTTCTTTTAATCACAAATGTCAGAAATGATAAAGGCAGGATATCACCACAATCTGTCGGCTATGAATGTCAAACCCAAACAGCAGGAGATTAAGTATTTAGCCCTTTTGTCCTTGCAGTTTGCCATAGTTACCTTGGCATTTTCTCTTTTTAGAACCCTGAGCTCCTTGTGTGTAGAGACCTGGAAAAGCAGAAACACCAGACAACACTTATTACATATAATGGATTAGAGTAAAAGGAATTACTTCCTTGGCATTAATCCATACCTTTCATTTTCGGTTTTAGCTTATAAAACACAGTATATATAAACACACACACACACAYATATATATATATATATATATATATATATATATGCATAAATAAAACTTCAGCAACAAGTTTTCCTTGCAACATTTTTGGCATGAAGACAGTTACTGTTACTGTTGACGGAAATCCAGTGTGGACAAATCCTTGCTTATCAGATCAAAAAACCGATGTAATCACTGAGATGACTCATAGACTCTGAATTTGAAGTGTCATGCCTTTATCTAGTCTTAAAGTATTTCACAATGTCTTATGTGAACTTTAAAAAAAGGCTTAAAGGCTAAGAAATTCTAATTCTGTGTAAGATTCACTAATCAGAGGTCTATGGGTTTACTGGACTATAACACAAACTGTACACACTGTATGAGTAGGTGGCAGTAAAAATTTAAAATTTGTCTTCACGTCTGAATGTCAAGCTGAAACATCTTGAAAAAGTTCAGTCACTGCTTAACTTCGACTCGTCACAACAGAATTTGGAAAGTCTGACCTTTTCCAGGATTTGCTCTTTGACATTGGAGGAGAAGGAATCGATGGACTGTTTGACAGATTTAGTCGCCACAGACTCCCTGTCAACAAACAGACAGAGAATGTAACCATCTCTAACTGCACCATAAAACAAACCTTAGAGATATTTGAGAAGAGAAATTGCTTAGAGGAGGAAATGGACCTGTACTCGTCACAGAAATCAAGGAATGCATCCAGCACCACCTCTAACTCTGTTGTTGCCTGACGACCACGTCTCTCGCTCCTCTGTTTATCGGTGTTGGACCTCTCAGCTACTGCAGATTTGCTGCCTTCAGGGGAGAAGTAGGTTTGTCATGGTCAGAAGGGTTTCAAAGGAGCTGGGGGGCCAAAGCAAACCCCCCCAACCCCCCTCCCCAAAAGAAACATGACACTAAACCACATCATTCCAAAAGGGTTCCAACCTTTTCAAATATATATGTGTAAGTACCATGGGGGGTGTTGAGGAATTTTCATATATTCTCACACATTACTGTATATCCCACTATATACTGTATTATATATACATATTATATCTGTACACCATTAAGAGAAGAGTGCCTGACTAATTCCACAGATACTCTCTCCTCTCTCTAAGCAGTTCACAAGGTCAGGTATAGATAAAGGATCAACCAACAGTGCATTGTTGTGTTTACGCTTAGTGACATTCATATCTGACTCAGAGGCTCCAGACAGAGAGGCACCAACTTCAACTCTTTTACGTATTTCACCAGTATCCAATAAGATGCAAACACATACATGTAGCATTGAGACTGACACTAATTCATCATTTATTGATGTGCTGGTAGAATGGGTGACGCAGGGTGAGGGAGATATACTGAGATGCTGTGGGAGACATCTTCAGACTGGGTGACAGTTGCTCATGTTACTCTGTTAGCGTTTGTATATTGTTCCATCTTCTGGTCTCCTTGATGCATCATGTCTACATTAACATCTTCTGCATAAGACATGAGTTCTCCTGTCACCAGCTTCTAGAAAACTTCCATAACAGGGGGGGCCCAGATTTTGGTGTATAAAGTCATAACTGGCACTTTCCTCTTGTACTCTCTATCCTCACCTGATGAAGACTTTCTGCTTTTGCCAAAATCAAACCCTCTGGCCTTCTTCGGACTTGGATTCTGAAGGAAAGAGGGAAAGAAAAAGATGAAACAAACCACAAACTGATTGTGATCCTGAAAGCAACCTGCTGAAGTTTTTGTTTTAATGTGGCTTTCATCATGTCAGTATTACTACAACTGAGATATACTGTGGAAGAACCTGTGATTCAGAGTCATTGGAGGTTCCACTGTCTGATTCATTCTCTCTCTCCATGTCCTTCATCTGCTGCTTTTTCAATGGCCTTGTTGTGAGACACAGACAGATGAAGAAATTGACAGTCGGGTCAACATATCCTAATAAAAAGACCATAAGGACAAGTAGGTTGTCCCGATGAGTTTTTTTTTATCACTTTGAAATTGTCAGTAGTTCCTCACTGTTACCTCACCTTGATGCAGAGGTCTTTCCAGCGCTCCTCCTCTTCCCAATTACTTGACTGCGAATGTTGGCCTTTGGGGGAGGTTTGGTGCTCGTGTGGGGGGTAACGCTGGTGTCTGACTCCTCACTGGCGGGGGCCTCAGGTTCTCCCTGTTTTTTCACTCCTTTTCCTCCTTTCCCAGGTCTTTTCAGCGCAGACAGCAGAGACAAAATACTTAATACGCATCATAATACAGAAATATAACTGCAGCACACAAATTTCTTTAGCCATACCTGGTTTTGAACTTCTCTGCAGGAGTTCTTCTCCTTATCTTCGTTTTTTCGCCTCCCGTCTCTGCGACCCCCCTCCTCACCGCAGCTCCACGCCGTTTCGCCTTTATCTGATGATTGTCCCCTCTTCCTGCTTTTCCTTTGTCCATCTGTCCCTCCACTAAGACATTTAAATCTTCCTCCATGGCAGTACTGTGCAGAGGGTTACCTAGGCAACACAGTAGGACAATACCAAGAAAAACATGTTAATGTCCAATAAACTATCTGCTCATCTGCAGTAACATTTTTACCTCCACTAAGTAGGTTCCGTTTTCCTCTGTATTTGTTACACAAAAACTAGTGACTCCCACAAAATTGGTGAAAGGATGAAGTATGGGTCTGGGAAGAAGCCATCAAATTATGGTGTAGATCCAGATCAGGGGGCAAAAAAACAGACACATTATGGTGGTTGATTCTATGAGATAAAAATCTGGATCTAGTGGATTTAAATTTGGCTTCATATGGGTGTAGGCTTTTTTCAGCTGCTGTATGGTAACAAAAGGGCTAGAAACTTGTAACTACCACCAAAATGTAGCCGTGAAACGTAATGTGGCCTCAGCTATAATACATCTAATAGTAAGAGGAGAACAAATAAATATAATAAAATACTTTATCAACCCCTGGCATGACAGTACTATGGGTATTAAAGAGAAACACAAAGATAAGATAAGAGAAGAGAACTCTTTGTCATCAGAATGCTCTTCTGAACTGTTGCTTGTTTCTGTTTCTCAAAACATGTAACCAAACCACAAATCAAATATAAATCTCACACATTATGAGAAGGTGGCTGCCAAACGATCGATATCATCACTTCCTTTGACATAGATATGGGCAGTGCACCGGTGTCATAGTCATCACCGCTGTGATGGTGCATAACACGTATTGAGAAAATAAAACACAATTGCTATATCAGCTGCTTATACTTTGACATTTTGTGCTCAGTCCACGCAGGGACACGGAGACTGAGAGATTAAACTCTAACCTTAAGAGTGAAGGGACAAATGAGTTCCACAGTCAGTTCAGTCGAATCTAAATCTTCTGCTTGATGGCAAAAGCTGATATGTAAAGCAATGACGGGTCGGTTGTAATATTATCAGCCAGAGACGACATTCTTTTAAAATACGCAGCTTGAATAGTTGAGTCAAGCAGATAACCAGAAGTAGTCCACAAAGTCAAGCTTCAAGCTGAACAGAGAGACAACTGTACCAGGCACTGATTCCACTGCAGAACACTCCTTTTTATAGACTGAAGAAACAATACCATCGGTTTGTTTGCTCCGAGTGGCTTCAGTCCTCTAAGAAAGCAAATGTTTTGCACCTCGCTACAACTCTGAAAATCTCTGTCACCTCACATCTGCCAGCTGGACTCTATTGGACTGTTCCAGTCACAGTTTGGATCAGTCCCCCACACACTCCGTCCCTCACTAATCAGATTTTAACCTTTGGTGTTAGGCCTCTTGACCTGATTTAATTGGTTAAATTCTTCTACTATTCTCTATGTTGTATTGACGTGTGTGTGTTTCTTAATCTGATTCTAATGCCTGGTTTTACTTTCATGGTTGATGTGTTTATTTATGACAGATGTCAAGGTGTCCAGAGGTGTCTAGAAATGCGCTATGAAAT